AGAAAATCTGAACATTGTAATTTATGAATAAATATTCTATCCTTAGTTTTAAGGAAAAAAGTACAAATAGAATATATGAGTATGTCTTCGCCCCTGATGGTTTTCTGAAAGGTATCTTGGGACATCCTGTCTTCCATACTAAAATATATGCCTTAGAAGACCTGAAAGACTATTTCAGCTTTTGTAATTACAAATACTTTCTGCAAGGAAAAATCCTTTTGGAATGCTCTCAGAAGATTGTTTTCTTTTCTCAAGAAAAAATAGTTAAAAATAGTTAAAGAAGCTGAGCACAGGTCAGAAAAAACCCAACATAGGACATATATCCAGATTAAACAAAAACATCTTATCAAGATTATGGGGCATGTCTCAGCAGTTCACAAAAGCAGTATCTATGATATTAAGAAAATATGTTAAACAAAGATTCCAGCACAAGGTCTGCCACTGAATATTCACAGTCCTCCACGGTAATGGCTCTGGCTACCTCCGAGATCAGCTCTCACTTCCTGACCACAACCTCCCTTCACAAAGGTACATTCTGCTGTAAGCAGGAAATCAGTGGGAGATCCACATGGTGTGGGAGGCCAAGCTTTCCCAGGAGCTAGACCTTAGTGCTGCAGCTGGCTCCCACCAGACAAAGCAATGGCTACTAACTGCACTGCTTGCAGAACTAAAACCAGAACTCATACATGCGGAAGGAATCAGCCAAGAAACAGCATGATAGAAGGGAGAGAAAAGAGAAAATACTTTTGCTACTATCCAATTAATCTTATAAATGGAGAAATAAGGGAGCTGACTTGATTATATTCCTTCAATTAAGTGGGAGATGCTCCAAGTCTGAGCTATAAAATACGTGGATATATTAAAAGCTCTCATACTTTCTTTTACAATTCCCTCCTGCTTTGCCACTGTTGTAGACATGCACATGGGTTATCGGTATTATCTGTACATATTGAACCATAAGCATTTTCAAAGTTTATCTCCTGAGTCTGTCAGTTTTGAACTTTAATCTAACAGCCACGTGCTGTGTGGTATGGCCAAGGAAGTGTCCATCTCACAATAATTTTCTGCAAGGTTTGCTAAAACTTGGAAGTCTCTTAGGAAAACACTTCGAAGGGTTTCTGTGCCCCTCTGATTCCAGTCTTGAAGTTAAGAAGGGAAAGCCAATGCTCTACAGCCAACTCAAATGTATTTCACTGGACACCTAATTTGTTATAAATCTCACATTAATTTAATTCTTTGTCCCCCTGAAACTTGCTGCAACTATACCTCAGGCTATGTGAAAGCCACTGAGATGTCCTTATTTTCTGCCAACTTCCTTTTTTCTCATCCACCCACTCACACTAAAATTACATTTCCATACTTCATCCAGTTCTTCTGGCCAAGAATTTATTGAAATATTGGTTATCTAAGAAAATTCCCAGCATACTGTGCATAATTTTCATACAAGTGTAGAAGTATAAAAGAACACTTCCCTCTCTGTCCCTAAAACTCTCCTTTTCCTCATATACAATGTACATTTAATACTCTAAATCCCTCTTTTAATCTTGTGTGCTTTTTCCAAGAAATCTTCCTTCTTTTACCGGAAAATACCTTCACAGTGCTTTCTACTACAACAGGGGGAATGCTCACCAATCTGAACAGTCCTGGTTTCTCTAATTTGACCGTTCTTCAACTCATGGCCTGCAGATCACATCCGGACAGACTAGATCAGTATGCAGGGGAGTAGGTCTATGGCAAGATCACTGAGTTTACATAAATTTTCTCTACAGGACCTCAAATGGAGAGCAAGAAATTATCATTCTGCATTTTCAGCAGTTTTAAGTTCAGAGAATGCCAGAGAATCCCAGTTTTACACACCAAAATGTTACAGATAATAATAAACAACTCAAACAAAGCAGTGCTAAGCTGCCTATCAAGCATCTGTTTGTGGGAGAGCCCAGGTGTTGCTGGCATTGGATGTAGAAGGAAGAACATGGTACAATTTGTATCCACACACCCACTCAGACTCCACACACTGACAGAGAACTCTTACGGGATGTATAAAATGTAAAGGGCATTTAGGTATCTAAAAGTGATTTCTTATAATAGTGTTTGGTTAGTTTATAACTTTCACAATAGTTTAAAAATTTGGAAGAGAAAAACCCATGCAACTCACAGACTTGACTAGAAAAAAAGGAGTATAGCAGAGAAATCTGTTTTCCAAAGATGTTCTTTTGATTTGGCATAGATGAAAATAATATCAAATGGATTGTAGTCATGGTTACGGTGATTTACACCAAAAAGAATTTTTTCCAATTCTTTTGAGAAGGTAGAATACCTTGAATAAAAAAAAGAAAGAATGCACTGACAATCTACTCCCCTTTTACACTTTAAAACAACTTTTAAACAAAGTGGGTAATTATAATAATTATAATACTGAAAACACTAGCTAAATTCATTCTATAAGAGAACATATATAAAATCTGTTTTATTGATCAGCACAAATTATGGCGCAGATTGATTCTAAACACAAAACCATATAGCAGCAGGTTTTTAGAGAAAGAAAAAAAGAATATTGCTGAAGTGGAAATAAAGGAAAAATAGGGGAATGTAAGGGTTTCCAATCAATTAAGCAGGTGTGGAACACATAAATACTGACTTAAGTCCAGGAGTAACTGGAGGGACTAGCCACAGTTCAGCTGCCACAAAGGAAGGACAGAGTCAGATCTGCCAGCAGGATCTCACCTTTTGATTCTGCCTTTTAATTCCACTTTTTTCTAATCAACTGCAATGCAAAAGCATGTGAAAAGTTTCTGAAGCCATCCCACGCTAACAGGAGCAGTGAGAAGGCATCCTGCCAGGCATTGAGATCAGTAAAATGTTTTGTCATGTTTCTTTTTTTTACAAAGAAAAGTCTGAATGTAAGGTTAATACTTAAGCACAACCAGTCATTCCAAGCTTGTTTTAAGGATATTTTTAAGATTTGATCATACACAAATGAGGTTGCCTTGGCAACAGCAACTATATAAAGCTAGAGTAATTACTTTCAAAAATCCTTCTTAGTGCTTTCTCTTCTTAATAAGAATGTGTAAATACCTTGTTTTAAGCTGCATTTATCAGAAATATTACTCATCATTGTTTCTACACTTGAGGCATGGCGATCCTAAAGTATGTGCCTAAAGCAGGTTGAATAATGCAAAACCAATTTGCAAATGCTCATTTAAATTCAAAAATTATAGTCAGATACTGCATATTTGCTTTTGGAGGGAAGTGAAAATTTGAAAAGAATTCAGCATTCTGTTTTCATACTGCAAGATCTCATTGAATAAACTGTGCCATGTATTCATCTGTCTTCAAACACAGTAACAATTCGCTTTTGTAAACAGCAAGCAAAAGGAATTAAGATGGAATTTAATACATCTAAATTATATTCATATAAACAGATCTACTGAGCCACTGCACAGCTCTGCATTGCATACTGTGGACTTACCTGTGTGGCTGAGACAACTTTAAGGTCTTTGTTCATCTCTTCATTACATGGCAGAAATGTACTCTGATTACCCTGGCATGGTGTTTGAGATCCATTATTAGTGATATTTGGCATTGTTCTGCTAGCCCCTAGGCTTGTCATTTAATAACTTATCCAGTTTTCCTGCTGTGCTTGTTAAAGCAGATGATGTCCACGTAGGCTTGACTCCTTCCTACAGCCTTCTTGGCCTGATATGCCATATTTTGCCACAGTCCTCCCTCCCAGGTCATGCTGCTCAGCTTTGGTTTACTGATGCCATAGAATACATCAGCCACAAGAATGGGCTCTTGCACAGAACTAGAGATGGCAATTAACACTAGTTGACAAATTGTCTATTTTCATTCATTATCAGAAGAGTAATGTTTTCCCCAACTCTTCTGCCCCCCAGCTCTGCAACTCTGCCTGTATGAATGCTGCCCTGAGTTATGGTTGCAAACACACAATAGGAAAGCCAGTTATACTACATAACAGCAATGCATAGACTTTTTATTTCTTGTCTGCGATTCTGTAACTTAAAATGTACTTAAAAACCACAGATGTTAATATTCAAAGAGGATTCAACAGTGAACAATACTGAAACAATACTGAAACATAATAATACTTTTGTCTATGCAATATTACAAGTGGTCAAGGATTGATATTTCTGTAGATGCAATTACGCAATATTACAAGTGGTCAAGGACTGACATTTCTGTAGATGCCATTAGAAATCTGGGAAACTACTTATCTTCCATGATGCACATAAATATTTTTTCCACTCCTTTAGTTTTATAAGGTGTCAGAAGTCAGATACATCTACTTACGCTGCTGCATCATCATCATCATGGTCATCATTCCAAGCAGTGCTAGTATTTTTCAACTCCAACCATCCATGGGAGACTAGCAGCTTTTAGCACAATGGGTATCAAATATATCTGTTCAGGGTCTGTTTTCTAGTGATTCCCAGGCTTACAGATAGGGTAATATCCTCTAAATAATTAGAATAATTTCAAAATTTTTCCTCATCTTCATTGATTACACAGATATATCAACAACTTATCCAATTTTTCTGCTCTGTTTGTTAAAGTAGATGATGACCATTTAGGCTCTGTTCCTTCCTTCACACTTCCTTCAGTGAAGTGTGTTTTCAAGATTGTAATAGTATCAAGACACTTAAAAATCCAGTGTGATATTCAGAAACTTTAATTTTCCACTAGCTTCTCAATGAATAACAGCAGAACTGTTTCAGAAAAATTGCTTCAGATGATGCATGCATTAAAGAACTAATATATCAAATCTTGAATTTTGAATTCAAAGGAGATGGGGAGACTTAAACCAGAAGAGGATCTGCTATGATGTCTGTTTTAGGCTGAATTATACATAACCTTTTAGCCTATGTTCAATCATCCTAACTTTTATTCACTTTTTATGTAGTTTGACATACTGAATAATCTGTTGCCTTTTCTTACAATACTCTAGGCAAGATATATACTATCCTATACTCTTAATTTACCTTTTGATCAATATATCTGTTTTCTTCAATTGCCGATCTTTTAGAGTGGTCACATGAGGAAGAAGATGCTGAAGGAAGTCTTCGCAGCAAACAGCTGGTATCTTGTTGCTGGCGATCAATAAACTGCTTCATAAAACTTTCCCTTGGGAACAAATAGAGAATATTGACACATAAAACTCCAAGAAGAGTTAATATTTGGTTTTCCTTCTGACATGTCACAATCCATTAATGCTGAGATGGAAAAACTCCTGAGAAAAAGTTGTACTGGGATATAGATGCATAAATGAACACAGTGCCAGAACAACTGATAACACCTGAATTAATTTATTAAAGAAATCCGTAACTGAATTGCAAGTTGGATCTCTTGCATGTAGATTAAAAAAAAAAAAAATTGCTTTTATTATTTATTTATTTACCAATTAAAGTGCTAAATATTTCCAGTGCCTTTTGCCATTTTCAGCTCTTTTGAGCTCATTAAACAGCAAGTTGTTACTTCAATATAAATCAAATGCTGATATAATCCAAATGAAACATACTCTCTGCATGAAATTATTTCTTGAAGATTTCAAACAACATCTGTTCATATAACTGCTTTGAATGTCATTATTAAGGCGCTTCAGCAGTTCTGTGCCTCACACATGCCATGTTTAAAAAGCAGAAGCATTTCTGTTTACAACAAATACACATTCATTTTGCCGTATTTTAAGTTCAGTAGAGTTGCCTCTTTCAGTGTGAACTATATCAAAACTAATTTTTCTCTGGAGAGATATTGCTATATAGTACAATAGCTTCAGATTTAAAGATATGATTTGCTAGTGCTAGTTTGAAATCCGTTTCAGTAGTTAATAGGATCATGAATGAGTACAGAATATGCTGGGAAAAACACAACTAGAAAGAAATACTAAAAAAGACTAAGTGTAGGAGAAGAACACCCGCCATATATAACCAAAAGGTACTTTGACACTAAAAGTAAAACATCTGTGATTGTCTTCTTGAGGTCTGGAAGACTGATTTTCATGACCATTCTGACCAGCCTAATTCTTTTTGTTCAGCTAAGGTACTACAAACAGGTCAAACCAGTTGATTTACCTTCCTTGTGAATTTAATCAAAAGAAATGTAACCTTGGTAGACTCAGAACAATGGCAGCAATCCTTCACATCATCCTCTCTTGTGGCATGTGCTTGTTGAGGATATTGACATGGGCAAGAGAGGATCTGTTCAGCCAGCTTGTGGCATTTCAGCAGACTTTGCAGCCTGTATATACTAGAGCAGCCCTTGGATTTTTTGTCAGACTTTTTTGACACCAAGGAAAAATAACTGTACTCTAACTGATCATCACAGATTTGCAGAATGGTTTGGGTTGGAAGGGGCCTTAGAAATCATCTTGTTCCACCCTGCCTGCCACGGGTAGGGACACCTTCCACTAGACCAGGTTGCTCAGAGCTCCATCCAGCCTGGCCTTGAGCACTTCCAGGGATGGAGCATCCACAGCTTCTCCGGGCAACCTGTCCCAGCACCTCACCACCCCCACAGTAAAGAATGATCTAATAGATCACTGGGCATCTGATCTTTAGTTAAGGTGAGTTTCACAGGAAAGAGGTAACTATGCAAATACAAATAAGGGACAAGGTCATCACAGGCTAACTGATATTACATGCTCTGTTTTATCCTCTCTAATGATTTACTGCCAATTTACCCTAGCTTTAAAAACCTACATGAGAATCCATTAGACTGCTAGTCATCTATGTGAGCCAAGAAAAGAAAATCCAAAGGAAAGGAGAAACAACACACTTTTCAATTATATTGTACTTATGTCAGCTCTGATCAGTCTAGCTGCTTTCATGAATAAGGTATAAGGAATGCTAGGATTGCTTTTCCCCAAATGAGAGAAATGAGGTATACCCAAAATGCCACATCTTTTGAATGCCTATGTTAATTCTGTTTCATTTTTTATTTTCTGATCTATCTGCCTAACACACAAGAAAAAAGAAAAATTAAATATTTTGGGTGTTAAGTGGCCCCAAAAAAGTTTAAAACATGCTAGCAAAGGAAATACTTCAATACCTTATTTTTGGAACTGTGAAATCTGAAGGAAGCTTTGAGATTTTCACCATTTGTGGCCTGTTTGGAAATTTTTCAAAGATGCGTAGACGCAAGGGAAGCTTCTCCTTTGTATCTGCATTAGCTTCACTTTGCTTTAGCTGAAAACAAAAAATAAAAAAAAATAACAGAAAGGGAAATTTTGCTCTGTAATATCCCACTCATTTTTCAGAATCCAAATAATAACAACGGCAATAATTTAAAGAAGCAGAAGATGGCAGCAAAGACCTACAGAAAGTGAATTTGATACGAGTTAATGGCTTGTGCTAGAAGCTTACAAATGCTTAACAATACCATGCCTTTATGAAAGACATAAAATGGGAGGATTGCTAATAATGTTAATTTTAAAATACAATGCATATTTGTGCCCTATTCAATGTGCTTATTTCTATTAGAAATAAGCACATTGAATATTTCTATGTTTTCTTCATAGATTCTAACACTTCCACCAAATAAACACCCAAAACCTTTTCTTATTAGGCACATCTTCCTGTATATGCTGACAGCTCTTTGACACTGAAAGACAACACAGCACTTTAAAAGGCAAAAAATTTTAAGAGAATCCAGCTCCCAGAACACAAAAATAACAGGACAACTGCATTTAGATGAGCATTATAAATAATGACAAAGAACTCGAATCCATCTACATCAGTGATACTTAGCTATGGCAAATCACAAATGTTGCATTTATAATTATCCAAAACCAATTATTCAATGGAATATCCCCCATCCAAATACAGAAAAGGCAGGCAGATACATGTATCTACATGGACAGGTGATGGCTAAATAAATAAGATAAACAGACATGATATAGAGATATGATTCATGAATATTGATTACCTTATGTAGCAATTCAGGTGTGTTATTGCAACAAAATGCAAAGTCAAAAAGAAGCAGTGAAATGAATTTTCACATTTATTTTAAACTGTATGTGTATTGTATATTATTTCAGCACACATCCAACTGAAATTCCAATTCTTTCCTCATCCCTGCTTGTAAGCAAAGGAGTAGAAGCTTAATTTTTAAAATACATTTTCACCATCAGCACCTGCAGGGAATACTGGTAATAGACACCAGCTACAGATTTTTACCAGGGGCAGTTGCCCAAGAATTCAAACAGAGCTTTAATTCTCATTTGCCCTGCCTAGTGAAATGCATGCTCCCACAGCATGCTATAGAAGAAAAACTGCTCTGCTGCACTGTCATGCTATCAGCAACATCACCACTTCCAGCCACAGGACGGCTTAAACTGAAAATCAATTCATATTCAGTTGGATAGAAATTGTCATGTGGGCTGAAAACTGCAGAAAACCGAACAGCTACAAACAAAGACTAATGATTAATGGTAAAGCTGATTCAGAATAAAAGGGAAATGTTGCATAAATCTGTATTGTGTCCAGTCTTGTTTCATTGCTCTATTAATGATCCTGAAAAGAAAGAAATTATGACATTAGCGCACATGATATTGAAACGTGAAGAGTTGCAAATACCACATCGCACAAGGAAAAGGACCCTTTTAGAAACAGTGGCAGGAAATAAGAGACTGAAAAAATTCTAGATAAAGAATAAGAGCAGAAACTAAACAAGAACTTGGACTTCAATATAGCATCAAAAGGCCAGTTTGGGCAGCAATTGCATTACCAGCCAAAGGTTATGTTCACAACCAAGCTCTGTTGGTTAGATATTACAGAGGCATTAAAAATGATATACAAGTTCCCAGCTCATCTCTGTGCTGCTTTGAAGAGAACATATCTGGGTATGAATTAGTTTCTAAATGCTGTTTTACCATTTTCTCACTGACAAGACAAAACAATGCTGAAGAGAGCTATGAAACCAGGGGAGGGCTGTGTTAACCAACTGGGACAAAGGAGAAAAAAGAAGAGAATGACCAAAGGGTCCGATTATTTACTCCCCTACTACCATAACTGATCAAGTAAGAGCAAAGGAGATTAAGCAAATTTATGTAGTAAATATCTGAAAATAAATTACTTCTAGAATACAATAGTGTACACCAAATAAAGGAATGAGAGAACAAAATTCAGAAACAGAATTTCTAGGATGAGAATAAAGATTACTAGCCTTATGGGAAAATCTCTGAGTGTTCAGAGAGATCTCCAGAGGGAAGTGCCTTATCATTTCAAAATCAGACTAGTCAGAACCCCTGAAATGTCACAGTATTGCTAAAAGAGATCTTTCACTGAAAAGGAAATTAATTGGATAATCTAACAGGGCTTTTCTGCAACACTGTACTGTTGTTGAAGGCTTTGGGAAGGGATTATTTTTAGAGGGAAAAAAGGTTTCCAGTTTCTGACACTTGTTTCTCAATAAGAAAACGTTGCATAAATATGCATATTTTTGGCACAGACAATGTCACTTACAGCTATGAACTCCTGTTTTCATAAGTCAGTGTATACAGAATAGAGAGCACCGAAATGTTGTCTGAACTCTAAGTGCACAACAGAGCACGGACAGCTTGAAAGCGGGAAACTGTATAGTTCAAAAGGTAAAGAAGGGGATAGGAGAATGATTTAAGATAGCTTTAAAACAACCTAAAGTCAAGGCAATTCTATAGAATATCTCCAATTACTCATGCTGTGATAATATTACATATTGGGGAGTGTGAGGCATTTAGCTTCCCTGAGTTCTTCTCTGTGCACTTAGGGTGTAATTGTTGCTCCACATGACACACATCCTGTTTTGTACTGCTGCTTAGAACCTTTATATTGCAACTTTCTCTAACACTTGACAAACACTGATTTTTAAAGGTACAGGATTATTTGAAATGGGCCTATGATGGTGCAGAATGTTTCTAGCAACAGCTAGACCCAAATAATCCAATAAACTCAAATAAAATATCCGGACATTTTTCTCTACGATTTTCAGGTTTTATTTATTACTCTTACTATTGATAAGGAAATGCACACTGGCCTGATTTGCTCTGCATAGCCCTCCATCTGCAGCCCAAGAGCCTACTGGAAATGCTCAACAGTAATTTGTCAGCCTGGCTTGGCTAAATTCTCTTGTGGATGGTAAAAACATTAACAGCTGTAAGGCCATTGAAGAAATTTTTGTCTATCTCATTACTCAGATGCTGCTTGAGTTCACACGAGCATATTTAATGGCGCAATGCATACAGTACAACTGTCCACTCTGAACACATATCAGATGCACTTTACTAAATAGCACCAAAATAGTGAGGAATGTCAGAGAGGATATTTTAATTTGGGATTCCTGTGTGGTTGTTTGAATAATACTTACAGGTCCCTGAACATCAAGCTCTCCCTGATCTGTTCACATAATTGTCTTCGATCAATCCAAAAGACAGCTGTGAGGAAAGGCAGACTTATAGGTGAAGACAATGTTAGAGTGATCCTTTTCTCACAGAAAGGCATTATGGCCATGTCTCCACTTGGTTTGGAGCAGTTTGAAGTCTGAATCATCAGCACTTCTTGTCTTCTGGTTGAGTTTATGTGCTGTGTTGGTAAGCAAACCAGATTCTTCTGGGAGGTAACAAAACCGCAGGCTCCACCTTGGCTACACAAAAATGCCATCCAGGATCAAGGATCCCAAGCAATGGCTGGTCCTTAAGATGGCTTTGAACCCCACGTATGATGGGACAGGTAGTCCAGTGTGAGACTGAATCAGTTCTGAAGAGAATCCGTCCGACCTGGACACACTGTGAATGGGGTGGCAGCAGACAACACTGCTTTATTGTCCCAGTTCTCTCCAGTGCCACAGGTGTTACATGGTATAGTCCTATCCATAGTACTTACTGCAGCTTCAGTTGAAATTTATTTTTGACTTCAAGGTTTCCTTACAAAAATGTGATTGCCAAAATCATCTTTTGGATAATTAAGATCTGGGCCCTTAGAAATGAAGAGAACCTGTAAGTCCTTGTCCTAAATACACAACGTAGGAGGAATGGTGCTGAAAGTGGAGGACTGGGAAAGGCAGGGCAGTATAAAGAAGACAGCAGATAATGACTGTGTATGAGAAAAAAGGTCATCCAGATAGTAATCACTGTAAATGTGGTCAGGGTGAAAGTAGTGAGTTCTTTTAAAGCAAATACTGCAACTCCTTTAATAGCAGAGCTGCTGAAAAATCTCTAGAGAATTGGAATGAGACAATCATCAGGAGCTGATTAGGAGAGCTGCATTTCCATAATCTCTCCCTGTGTTTGGCAGAAGAAATATGCCATAGTGCATTTCAGATATTCAGGTGTGTGCAAGGCAGTGTCACACCTGCCCTCCAGCTGACATCCTCTCTTGTGGAAGCAGGATGTGAGAGAGAAGCGTCTGCACATGCAGAACTCCTGATTTTCTCAGGTGGAAGCTGATGGTCTGAAAGGTGGAAGTGCTCTGGGGTCTGGTAATATAAACAAGATCACTTGAACAGTTCAAAGGACAAACTAACATGAGTATCTCTTAATATCACTGATTTGCATTGAGGGATAGAAACAACCTCAAAAGTATTGATCTTGCCCACACAAACCAAAAGCTTAAATTTAACAAAGTCAATTTGAATTGGAATCATATCTTGTCAGCAGCATTTGTTCCTGAGGAACTGATAGGAGCTACAATAACTGGAAGGAAGTTATTAGAAGTCCCGCATTTGTGAAATCTTACTCAATATCTGTTAAATTTGGAAGACCTAATGCAAAACTTACAAAAAGTTATCTAAATGATCAATTAAGATATAGCAGTCACAGTACCAAACCATACTACACACAGCATATAAACCCTGTTAAAGAGAGAAGTTTTTTATTACAGTAACAGATCTTGTGTCTATGGAAAATGAATGTATTCTGGTTCCTCCATCTGTCAGGAACTTTTTCAGTTTATTTTATTCTTATATTACCAACAGTGCAGTCTCTACTCTGAATGCCAGCACCACGGTGATCATAGCTTCTGAAATCCTATGGACTTGGCAGAATTTTGTAGGTGAATGAGCTATATTAAACGAAGATATGCATATGGGTAAGCTATCACATCACACACTCAGATTTGGCATCAAATTGTAACAACATTTTTGTACCTGCATTTGATCTAAGATTCAACACAAATCAGATGTTCAGTTAATATTATCTACACCTGCAATTTCA